CTACTAGAATATGTATTGTGTTAGTGACTTCAGAATTTGGAAAGATATTCAGAAATTGACACTTTGATATCTATGTACTATCCCGATGACAAATAAGTCTTTTGGAGGTCAGTATATGTGCTATTAAGACCACAAAGTAAAAAAAACAACATAATGATGATAATATCTTACTGTTGCCATAATATTGCCTTATATTTATTGAAGTACTGGTAGAATGCATACACAAGGTCTCAATATTAAAGAAAATTTCTTTCTCTCCCCCCCCCCCGGCCCTTTTTCTCTTTGCATTCCTGCATTCATTTCATATTTAGGGTGAACTTATTCTTATCTCAAAAAATAAAAACATGCGCTGCACAAAATACAATAAAACTTGTAGATAAGTATAGCTGAAATATATTTTTCAATTTAATCTGCAAGTAAATTAAAATCTTACAAAATACTGTGAGTCACTGCATGAGCAGCTTTACATAAATGATTCAACATTTTTAGAATGGTGTGGGGTTTTGTACAAGAACTATTATTTTAAATTACAGTGTCACAGTCATGACGTAAAAGTATTAATAACGATGTGGTTTTGGTACTCTTTTGTTAACTTCCTTGTCCTCGGGGCTTCAGTTATTTGCCAGTGTTTATGTCGCTTTTCACCACACCTTTGTAACTGCTCAGACACGGAGTATATTTGACTATATATTGCACTTACACCAGTGACTTGATGAAAAAAATATTTATATTAATAGATGTTTAATTTATTACTTGACTTGCACAGTATAGCAGAGCCTACTAACAATGTACGTGCAGTGTATAATATAAAAGCAGTGTATGTCGATTACATCAGCAAACAGTTCAATTCCTTTATAGTTTGTGACAATTTCATAATTTATAAGTGAAAAAAAAACAGTTGTCTGATATTGGGTCATTAAATTTCTGCAGTGGCAGATTTAGGGGAGGTCAGGGGGTCCTACCCCCCCACCCCACCCCCACTTTTTTGAAAAAGGTGCACCAATGGCCCCTCTTGAAATTAGAATTTTGACTAGCTGTATCATAGCCCCCCCCCCCCCCCCTCTTTCAAATAATTCTGGATCCGCCTTTGTTTCTGGGCTTAAAAATAAGTGGTTCTTGTGTAAGCATGTCTGTATTTGTATAGAGAAGACAACAATAAGACAAGATAAATAACAGATTATCATAATATCACCACTGATAGCTACTTTTGTGACAGTTTTGTAGTGTGATTCAACCCCCTCCCCCACATATTCTTTATCTCACTTTGTAACCTACCTGTCTAGATAAAAAAAGAAACAGGTAAGGCGGAAATTACCTTGGCTGGTAAATAGAAACATCTTTTATCATTATAATTAGCATTTTTGTCTCGTGTTGTTTTACCACAGGGTGTACTTCCCTCGCCAAACAATGGCATCTCCTTTTTTCATTATTTAAAAAAATGTTTGTGGTTTTACAGCCCAATTCTTTCTGTCTGATACTTTAAAAAAATTTTGACATGCAACACCTTACTAACATTGTGGTTGATTGGCTCATCTGATGGTTAAAAATATATTTATCAGTACCAAGATATATTGTGCTGAACTCATCTGACATTCTTATTATTATTTATCATTATCTATTATCATTTATCTATCTCAGTGCAAGTGCATTTAAGAATGCCTTTGACCCAACAAAATAATCTGAAACATTGATAATAAAATTACAAATTCATGCATTCATTATAAATGATTCACGATAATTCATTTTTTAAACAATAAACCACCTCTTCCCACTCTAACTCCCACAAGACACAACCCTCAGTAGTAAAATAATCCATTTTAGGGACATGCTTTTGTATTAGACCCCACCCCTTTGCCTCAGTAGTGTCATATCTTATATATCTTGACATATTTTTTATTTTAAAAAATTTCTCTTTGGCAAGGTGCAACAATGCCTGTTTATGATAATGACACGGTCTTGTTGAACCGGTTTAAAGATAAGTAGAATATGAAGGCAGGAACATAATGGATAATACTGAAGGGATTCACTAGTTTTATTATTTGTGTGTAGTCATGGGTGTTGCATGCGTCATAAATGTGGAAGCCAAAGTGCGCACTTAAAAAACAGTTAAGTGTACTTTGTGAAACAACCATGGTCAGTTTTTTATTTATTTATTTATTTATTTATTATTGTTATTATTAAATATAAAATACTTCAGTCAAATTGTCTGATGCCTGTGTTTTATAAATGATGCTTGACATTGCTAACTCAGTGGCGTATTTAGGGGGTGACAGGGGGGTCCTGACCCCCCCCCCCCCCCCCCTTTTCGGTTTCTGAAATTTAGACTTTTGACTAGCTGAATTATAGTTTAAAACCCTATCGAACGGCACCGTACGCCCTCCAAAACATCAATTTTTTTTCGGGGCTCTTCAGCGGGCCCCTAACCCCACTCCAAAATGGCGAGGGTCGGTTTTACATCCGAGGGCCTTGATTCCTAATACTGGTCCCCGCCCCCTTCAAATAGTCCAGGATCGGCCCCTGGTTAACTGTGTCTTTCATATTTACCCACCCGTTTGCATACAACCTCCCTGTAATTTCGGCGCTGAAATTAACGCTCTTTTCGACATCATGTCTATATTGTAGTTCATCCATATTTTCAATATTTTGATCTTGCAAACTCATACCTTCACATCCGTTGTCACTGTAATGTTATAATTTCATTATAGTTATCAACATATTTTGTGATTGTGTGTATTTATGGCATCTAAATCTTTCTCTCTTTTAACCAAAGTTAACATGTTAATGAACTTTTTTTTCCTACTGGTCATTTACATCTATCTCCTTTGGAGAATCCAACCGAAAGTCTGAAACTGTGACACCGCATGGATAGCCCTTCATACATTTATACCTGTGCTTTCATGACTAGGCACACTAGCTCCATTTGTCCCTGCTTCAACCTTTAAAATTGATGGCCTTGGACTTGACGGTTTATCTTACCTAACGAGCGACCCTCCCCCTCCTCTCTCTCTCTCCCTCCCGCCCCAACACACACACACACACACACACACACACACACACATGCAAGACTTATTACCTCCGCCAAGGAGGTTATGTTTTCACCCCTGTTTGTCTGTTTGTTTGTTTGTTTGTTATCAACATAACTCAAAAAGTGATGGACCGATTTTGATGAAATTTTCAGGAACTGTCAGAAGTGGACCAAGGAAGAGATGGTTAGTTTTTGGTGGTGATAAGGATCAATAATCAATCAATAATCAATAATAATAAAAAACATTAATGCCTTGGCGGAGGTCTGCGCTCTCGGAGTGCTTTTCTAGTTATCAATATGACCCCCCCCCCCCCCCGACCCAGAGAATGTGCGTGTTCGCAGTAATTAGCATAACTGTTAAAGTAATGAGATTTTTCAAATATTTGGAGGGGATGTAAAATGACATAGGGATAGCATGCGTGCACTACTTAAGATGGAAAATATTTCTTTGTATCAGATTAGGGAACGGTTTAACAAACGCTCTTTATTCCAAAAATGGTCTGAAGCTTTAGACCAAAATTTTGGCCTAATTCAGTTAGATGTAAAATAGTCGAACTGAATAAAGTAAGCTCAGGTCGGAAACGTTAGCTTTTTATTATAAAACAGTTACAATATTTCATTTAGTCGGACCAAAAGTGATATAGCTTGGGTCATAATTGACCAGAATTTTCGTCTAAAATAGAAATTAATTTGTGTAACAAGCCCCAAGTTAATAATAACAAAAACATCAAAATTCCGATTATAACAACTCAAAAATTATCTGCAAATTAGTTTAAGTTCACTGTATTCTACTTCATACAGCTGTATAGTAGCTCGTGGCCACAAAAAAATTTAGACTCAGTAGCTGAGGCATTATATCTATGTTTTGTACGTAATAATTATAAAATACTGTAAATCAAGAAACACAATGGCAGCTTTAGGCGTCTAGAAGTTGCACGTGTAATGTTTATGATAAACTGATTAAACAGTCTTCTCTGGCACTCTTGGACTCTTCTCTCGGTCATTTTATGACCTGTATCAGGTGAATATCTCCCTAGGTTATTGTTATTTTTATCTATAAATTAGTACTTGCCGTCATGGACTCACCGACCACCTTGTATTTCTTGGCTACACACACGCTGAGATGATTAGAGTTTGGAAACAGTGAAATGTAAATTTGGCATAAACTGTTTCCAAAAAAATACGATGAATGTTGTTCAGAAAGTTCTCATGCATCCTAAATGTTATTGAATGTGGCCACATATCAGTTCAAATTCATTCATTAATCGGATAGAGGGCCCGGCAGTATGGAAGTATCGTCCTAGAGCCAAAAATACGCCTGATACCGACATATTGTATCTAAAATGTCATCTAAATTGTCATTTTATTTAAAATGTTGCGTGTCTGTCATACAAATTCTAGCTTTTAAATGATGGAGGCAACATCATGTGCTTTTAAAATAGTGTGTAATTTTGTTGAATTTTTGTTGATAGTTGTTGAGAAATTGACATTTAAAATTTGGAAAATTTTTATTCCTTTACCAAATATATGTGTCCATTGCTTCACTTAGTCTGTTTTCATCTTTTGTAGAGTTTATCAATTTTAGAACAGCGATTACACAATGGATACTTCTAGACATATGATTTTTAGAGTTGACTAATTAAGGGCGATACATCTTTCACTGGTATTGCATACACAGCTCAACCGCACATATATCATACCCCTTAATGTTTTAAGTTACGATATATAAACATTTGAAATACAGTGAAATCGACAAAGATTTCATACGAAATCACCAGTCTTGGGTTCGAGAAAGAGGTGAATAGGAAAATTTTTGTCTTCAGACTACTGTGATAATACTTCAGATTTAAGTAAAAAAAACTTTTTTGTATCAAGACGATGCTTTGATCGCGCATTTCTTCTAGCAATGAGAGAAACAAAGAGAATAAAAAAGTTAAGACAACAGATATATTAATCCTTTTTTTACTTTCTTCAGGATGGAGAGACTGTGGAGGTTTCCTCCCTGGTGACAGAGGGAGATGAGAATAAAGAGCGAGGAAACTGGGGTGGCAAGCTCGACTTCATCCTCTCCTGCATTGGGTATGCCGTGGGCTTGGGTAACGTGTGGCGATTCCCTTTCCTGGCCTACAGGAGTGGCGGAGGTGAGTACGCAGTGGTCAGGGGGGTCATGACCCCCCCCTTCTGTTTCTGAAAAATATATCACACCAATATTCCTCTCTTAAAATTAGAATTTTGAGTAGCTAAATCATAGTTAAACCATACCAAAGGGCACTGTTTGCTCTCCAAATCACCAAAAATTTTCGGGGCCCTAGAGCAGGCGCCGAACCCTACACCAAGGGGGCGATGGTCGGCTTCGCATCCGAGGCCTGTCATTCCGGACTCCCCCCCTTCAAATAATCCTGGATCCACCCCTGAGTACGTGTGTGGGGAGACCAAAGGAAAAGGGGACGTTTTCTCCATATACTTTTAGCCCTCAAAAAATGAATTTAAATGCGACTCAGTAAAGTGAGTGACTTATTGCGAGCATTTCTAACCTGATGTCACTTACCCCTGCCACATGACTTTTAATTAAGATACCCCAGATTCCCCAGTGACATATAGGCCTACCTACACGTCCAATTAAAAAAAAAACTGTTCATGCACTGTGGAGTGTAGTATGAGTTTGCATGTTTCCAAGCGCATATCAAGCAAAACCAATTGAAGTCACATCGATATAGGCCAACACACGCACGCGTGTATAGGTAATAGACAGTAGGTTCATGTGGTGTCATTGAATCTGCATCGCTCAAGTATTTTCTTCCCATCAGTGATCAAATGGCAATGATGGTTGAACAATAAAAATTCTTTCCATTAAACAAAAAAAAAAATCTAGTCTGCAGCGGACATAATGTATGTATGTGCACACTTTCATGTTTACACAAACACACAGCTTTGTTGTGTGTACAAAAACATGCAGGTTTATAGGGGAAGAAGAGAACCCATGTAAATTTAACACTCCTTTTACAGACGTTATTTTGTCTGCTTAATCTTAGATAGCTATAGAAGATGTTTGTACACCAGACTGCAATGATGTAAGGACATTTGTGGCATTTGAGACATTCTATTATGATTGCCACATTTTTCAAGTGAAAGAAAAAACTATTTCAAATGATAATTATAATACTAATTTTACTGAACCCTAATTTTTTTTATGCTTCAATTGACAACGCACTTTGAATTGTTTTCTATCTTACTTTCAATGCAGGTATCCTCAGGGCATGCTCTACTTGTTACTTGACCATCAATTTTACAGAGCAGTGACCCATACATTGGTTGTTATATCATTTTTTCTTTGTAAAATTTGGGTTCGCCCTTACTGGCAGTAATAAACACCCTTAGCCAGGGCTCCATTGAGATTTCTTTTCTTCCGCATCTAATACTATTACAATTTGGTAGAGAGATAAGATGTTGAAGAAGGCATGCTGTTTGGTTAGGTACACAACTGTTACTCTCCAGTAAATATGAATGTTGTCTTTTTAATGTATTGATGGTGTGAGAAATGTGTTTTTTGGTGCAGGAAATTGGCTGAATTTAATTCCAAATTCAGTTGAAAAACAGAGGAGGAGAAATGAGTGCATTTTGAATGGAAAAACTTCTTATTATTAATTTTTTTTTTGTGAAANCCCCTTTGAAATTGCTGGCTACGGGCCTGTTAAATATGCACAAGCAGCACTACTGAATCCATTTTTTTTAAATGCCTATTCATTTTTTAGGTGCCTTTCTCATTCCGTATGCCATTATGTTGTTTTGTGCTGGATTACCCTTGTTTTTCTTGGAGTTGTCCTTTGGTCAGTTTGCATCTCTTGGACCCATCACCATTTGGAGAATAAACCCATTCTTCAAAGGTAAGAGTTTATGTTAATAAGTAGTATTCAATATAATAAAAGTACTAATTGAAAAATAAGTATTTTGTAAAAAAATAAAATAAATAAATAAATAAAAAAGGAACAAGAAAATAGTAAAAAATACATATGATTTCAAGAAAAGGCTGCCATTTTTTTTTTTTTTTTTATTCAGGTATAATTTTAAGTGTTGCATTTTAGTTTAAGTTTTTTGACAATAGCTTCATCAAAACCATAGGATTTGAATAATTTGCACTAGTGAAGTTATCTAATATATCAGTATTCTTTGATGATACACATATTTCCTCTCTGTTTCAGGTTTGGGATTTGCTATGGTGATTATCAGTGGCCTGGTGGCAGTCTATTACAACGTCATCATTGCCTGGGCACTGTTCTACTTATTTGCGTCGTTCACGTCCGAGCTGCCCTGGCAGACCTGTGACCACGAGTGGAACACCCCGAATTGTGTAACCAAGTTCAAAGGTGGCAATGGCTCAGAAGCTTCATCACGCTTTGGAATAGGTATACAGATTTATCTGATATGATAAGACATAATTGAAGATGTACAGACATGATAAAGCTAACTGTATGTTTTATGCACATTTCCATCGACCTCATATTGAAATGCCTAAAAAGATTGTAAAATCTATAGATTTTTCCCTTTAATGATGGACCAGCTATTACCAGGAGTGATAAATATTTGCATGATATTCAATTTGTGCATTTTGCATCCCTCTTCAACAATTTTTAAGTGTTTAAAAACACAAAAACATTTTCAAAGATTTCATATATATTTTTTATTGCAGTTACATGGTGTAATGCCACACTTAATGTCACCAGCAACTGCACCGTGTACAAGCCAGTCACCCCTAGTGAAGAGTATTGGGAGTAAGTTAAACAATTTATTAATACTGACAGACATGTACATTTACCAACTTAGGTAATTTAGACTTTGCCTTGGTGATCAGAGAAAATGTGCTGAAATTTCCAGGAAAAAATGAAAAATAGCAATATATTAATAATAATTTTTTTTTTACTGAATAATAATATATTAATAATAATTCATATTTTTTACTGAATAATAATCTTGTGGCCATCATGTGTCTCTTAAAGCAAACTTGTTACTGATTGTTTTAAGTGAGTCTGCTCCCAATCCAAGGCAATAAGCTAAATGTACAATCAGTGAATCTTCAAGGTATAAAACTCCAGAGTATTTTCCACTCTACTTTTCCCCTCTGCAACATAATAGTAAGATATGAGAAAATTTAAATTAAATTATGCTGCCTAGGTGAAATTTAGTAGTAATTAAAATTTTTAATGTATTTAACAATATAATTAACTTAATATAATCTCACTTTCCTCCACAGTAACTATGTCCTGCAGCGATCTACTGGAATTGATGAAACTGGAACTATTCGCTGGCAACTGGCTTTGTGCTTGCTTCTGGCCTGGATCATCATTTACCTGTGTCTTATCAAAGGAATCAAGTCCTCTGGCAAGGTAGGCCCTTTTCATTTACAAATAATGGTTATTTTTTACTGGATACAAACAAGAATGAATTGTCATTTTTCTCCCAAAATATTGTTTTTTTTTTATAATTCCTATAGTTGTAGAAATGTAGTGAGTTTGGTTAAATTGTTTTGTTCAAAAGACCTTTAATACTGGAACTCATAGCTTGTAATTGAATAACACTGCAAATCGCTATAATAACCCAAAAATTAAATAAGCCAACACTGGCAAACTGTTTTACATAGCATTTTTGTTAATATATACAGACTCTTGTCATACATTGTATGTATCCTTCATGTTTCAAAAGCTACTAGTATGTATCTATAATTACAGGTGGTGTATGTGACAGCTACCTTTCCCTATGTTGTGCTGGTTATTCTGCTGGTTAGAGGATGCACCCTAGATGGCGCTTTGGATGGTATTCTTTTCTACATCACTCCCAAGTGGGATAAACTGCTGACAGCTCAGGTACATATAAATATGCATTACATGCAGCAACAACTGTTTAATAACTAATATGACACCTGCTGGTTTATATTATATTTGATGTAGAGAAGCCGTGATAAAAGTCCTTCATGGTGCTCCTTAGTGGTCTGCTCATCAAGAGATTGACATTGACTTTTTCTGGGTTCTAATTAAACCTGATGTGAAACGAGTTAAAAATTTAGATCTCAAGCTTTAATTTTGATGACTTTTTGACAATATATTTTTCTTTCTTGTACATTTTCATAGGTCTGGGGAGATGCAGCAACACAAATTTTCTATTCTTTGGGCGTGGCCTTTGGAGCTTTGCACACCATGTCCAGTTACAACAAGTTCCACAATAACTGTTACAGGTAGCACTCTTTGACCATTTCATCCATTAAAGACTAAGACTTATTTCAAATTATGAAGTATTTCTCTAGCCAGTATTCATTAAGATTTATATTGAAGCTTTTTGTACTACATGTTACAAACATAAATGCTGTGCAGCTTTCGATTTTTAAAACAGTGCTCAAGAACCTTGAAAGGGGAACAGCAAATAAGCTAGGCAGCTTTTTTTCTTTCCTTTTTTTATTTCTATTTATTTATTTATTCATTTATTTATTTATTTGAGAGGGGACGAAGAGGGATAATCACAGAAGTTAAGTTTACATGTAGTATTTGAATTGATCCATTTTCTTGACTTCCAGAGATGCCCTGATAGTGGCCATTATCAACTGTTGCACCAGTGTGTTTGCTGGCTTTGTCATCTTCTCTGTCATTGGCTTCATGGCCTATGATGCCGGACTCCCTGTGGAGAAGGTGGCCACAAGCGGGCCTGGTTTGGCCTTTGTGGTCTACCCAGAGGGTATTGCCAGGATGCCTGTGGCTCCCCTGTGGTCCATTCTGTTCTTCTTGATGTTACTGACCCTTGGATTGGACAGTCAGGTTTGTAGATGGATGGTGCTTGTTGTGTCCATGGATTTACTAAACCGGAAGGGATTGTATGGCAAAAGGAGTAAAAATTACACACCTTAATAAAAGATGGACATGTCTGCATAGAATTAAAAGAGAAGCAGACTGCTTTTTTTTAAGATACTTCACTAAGAAGAAGGGTGATACAGTGTATGCTGCAAAAATTGTTGAATGTAAAAACGGATTCATTCATTTAATAGAATAGTAAATGAAATAGCACCATAGTAGAAGCATTGCGGAATTACAGTAAAGAGGCAATCATTCTAACTGCATGATTTCAGCTGTGGCTATTTTCTTTATAATTACAAACAATATATGTTTAATATTAATTGTGCCCACTGCATATTTACTGTTTTTATCGCAATTTAATACATTATGAAGAATCACCTTTAACATTCATCAAAATTACTAGTTCAGGATGCCCAGTCAGCCACTAGAATAAATTTTGAAACTAAAAATGTTCCAGTTTTCATGTTAATGCCAAAAACAGCATTTATTTGCATTGACAGGATTTTAATATTTTCTTATTATATTTCCAGTTTGCTATGACAGATGTTGTGTTGAGTGGTTTGTCAGATGAGTACCCATTTTTGAGGAAACATCACACTATTTTCTTTGCCCTTATTTGTGTCGTATGGTTCCTCCTTGGTTTGCCTATGGTCCTAAATGTAAGTTATTATTTACGGATATCTATTTTTTTTCTGTTGGCATACAGTCAAAAATGGAGGATGGATCAACAAAAATAATTTGGAAGGCTACCAGAAAATATCTCTGGATCCGCCCCTGACAATAAAGCACCTTATCTGTTGATCAAAGATCTACAGTAATGACTCGGTCTTTTCAATTGGCAATTGTTATCAAACTTTCGGACACATAATCTTATAAGCACAATATTATATTTTTGTATTATTAATGGTATTTATGGTGCTTTTACTACAAGGAATAGATCTATAGAGTAGCCTGCTTTTTAATTTTGTTGCTACCACTTAACAGAAATGTTCTGATTTTAAGAAATTACGAGATAAAAAAAGTACAGAATCCGTAAAATTCAAATTTTTACTTCATTGAAAAGATTGAGTTATTACCATATGTATTTATGTTGTATTTCTGCATACAAAATGTGGTTTTTCAGAATGACATTATGTTTTCCTCTGTTTACACCTATCCGTTTTCATGTCTATCCATTCTTAGATCATTTTCATCTGTTACATTATTTAAATCTATGTGATTATTCATTTTCAGAGTGGAATTTACTGGTTCACCTTGATTGATTGGTACTGCGCAAGCCAGTCCCTCATGATAGTTGGCCTGTTTGAAGTGATTGCAATCAACTGGATCTATGGTATGTTGGTTATAAGGAAAGTTTTAGAAAATTATATGCCTAGTAAAAGATGCTCATTTGCAAAGGTAGCTTTTCCAGAACAGAAATATTTAACAGAAACAATGGAATACATAAAGTTTCTCTGATTTCAACTGTAATAGTTTAGAAAGTGAATGGTTAAACCTTGTTACAAACAATAAGCTGATTTTGTGTGTTCTCACCCAAATGAATAGTTGTTATTCCTATACCGCACAAGGGGTGCTGGATTTTAATACTAGTATGTCTGAATGTCTTACTAACTTAATGTTCAAATTTTCCCTGTTTTTCTTTAAAAAGGATACAACAACTTTGCTGAAGACATCAAAATGATGCTGGGATTCAAGCCTAATATTTACTGGAGAGTGATGTGGATGGGAGTCACACCAGCTTTTATTCTTGTAAGTTTTTTTTTACTACTCCTCAAAAATGTTTAGAGATTCTCAATTTTGAGTTATTTTTTGCTTTGAAACAGATACTAACACTGTTGATTGGATTCTTTGTTTAAACACTTCATTTTTTTTCTGAGAGAGAGAGAGAGAGAGCTTGTGCATATGAAAATCTTATAAACTAGTGTTGTACAATTCAGGTTCAGAATGATACACCTGCAGTATTTCCTTTCTTTCTNAAAGGACCTTTAATACTGGAACTCATAGCTTGTAATTGAATAACACTGCAAAAATCGCTATAATAACCCAAAAATTAAATAAGCCAACACTGGCAAACTGTTTTACATAGCATTTTTGTTAATATATACAGACTCTTGTCATACATTGTATGTATCCTTCATGTTTCAAAAGCTACTAGTATGTATCTATAATTACAGGTGGTGTATGTGACAGCTACCTTTCCATATGTTGTGCTGGTTATTCTGCTGGTTAGAGGATGCACCCTAGATGGCGCTTTGGATGGTATTCTTTTCTACATCACTCCCAAGTGGGATAAACTGCTGACTGCTCAGGTATATATAAATGTGTATTACTTTCAAGTTGGAATGTCTCTCCACCTGTGATATGAGGAGATTGTAATTAAAATAAAGTGATCAGAAGTAATTTTTCACAAAGTAATTTCACCAAAGCAGTGATGAACTTATTTCCCACTGACTGTCTTATTATTAATAACAGGTGAAATACAAAGTTCAACATTCATTTTTTCTTTCTTGTACATAGGTCTGGGGAGATGCAGCCACACAGATTTTCTATTCTTTGGGTGTTGCTTTTGGGGCTCTGCACACCATGTCCAGTTATAACAAGTTCCATAATAACTGTTACAGGTAGCACTCTTTGACAATTCATCCATTAAAGATTAAGACTTTTTCAAATTATAAAGTATTTCCCTGGCCAGTATTCATTTACGTTGAAGCTTTTTGTAGTATATGTTACAAACATAAAAGCTGTGCAGCTTTTGATTTTTAAAACAGTACTCAAGAACCTTGAAAGGGTAACAGCAAATAAGCTAGGCAGCGTTTTTTCTTTACTTTTTTATTTCCATTTATTTATTTATTTATTTGAGAGGGGACGAGGATGGATAATCACAGAAGTTACGTATACATGTAGTATTTGACCTGACACCATTTTCTTGACTTTCAGAGATGCCCTGATAGTAGCCATTATCAACTGCTGCACCAGTGTATTTGCTGGCTTTGTCATCTTCTCTGTCATTGGCTTCATGGCCTATGATGCTGGACTCCCTGTGGAGAAGGTGGCCACAAGCGGGCCTGGTCTAGCCTTTGTGGTCTACCCAGAGGGTATTGCCAGGATGCCCGTGGCTCCCCTGTGGTCCATTCTGTTCTTCTTGATGTTACTGACCCTTGGATTGGACAGTCAGGTTTGTAGATGGATGGCGCTTGTTGTGTCCATGGATTTACTAAAGGGGAAGGGATTGTATGGCAAAAGGAGTAAAAATTACACACCTTTATTAAAAGATGGAGATGTCTGCATAGAATTAAAAGAGAAGCAGACTGCTTTTCTTAAGATACTTCACTAAGAAGAAGGGTGATACAGTGTATGCTGCAAAAATTGTTGAATGTAAAAAGGGATTCATTCATTTAATAGAATAGTAAATGAAATAGCACCATAGTAGAAGCATTGCGGAATTACAGTAAAGAGGCAATCATTCTAACTGCATGATTTCAGCTGTGGCTATTTTCTTTATAATTACAAACAATATATGTTTTAATATTAATTGTGCCCACTGCATATTTACTGTTTTTATCGCAATTTAATACATCATGAAGAATCACCTTTGACATTCATCAAAATTACAAGTTCAGGATGCCCAGTCAGCCACTAGAATAAATTTTGAAACTAAAAATTTTCCAGTTTTCATGTTAATGCCAAAAACCGCATTTATTTGCATTGACAGGATTTTAATATTTTCTTATTATATTTCCAGTTTGCTATGACAGATGTTGTGTTGAGTGGTTTGTCAGATGAGTACCCATTTTTGAGGAAACATCACACTATTTTCTTTGCCCTTATTTGCGTCGTATGGTTCCTCCTTGGTTTGCCTATGGTCCTAAATGTAAGTTATTATAGATGAACACAATCAGGGGCAGATTGGGGCAGTCTTCTGGGTCTTCCAGAATACGGTCAGATTTTCAAGTTTACATTTACGGATATCTATTTTTTTCTGTCGGCAGACAGTCAAAAATGGAGGATGGATCAACAAAAATAATTTGGAAGGCTATCAGAAAATATCTCTGGATCCGCCCCTGACAATAAAGTGCCTTATCTGTTGATCAAAGATCTACAGTAATGACTCGGGTCTTTTCAATTGGCAATTGTTATCAAACTTTCAGACACATTATCTTATAAGCACAATATTATATTTTTGTATTATTAATGGTATTTATGGTGCTTTTACTACAAGGAATAGATCTATAGAGTAGCCTGCTTTTTAATTTTGTTGCTACCACTTAACAGAAATGTTTTGATTTTAAGAAATTACAAGATAAAAAAAATACAGAATCTGTAAAATTCAAATTTTTATCTCATTGAAAAGATTGAGTTATTACCATATGTATATATGTTGTATTATGCATACAAAATGTGTTTTTTCAGAATGTAGTTATATTTTCCTCTGTTTACACCCATCCATTTTCATTTCTTTCCATTCTTAAATCACTTTCATCTGTCATAAATCTATGTGATTGTTCATTTTCAGAGTGGAATTTACTGGTTCACCTTGATCGATTGGTACTGTGCAAGCCAGTCTCTCATGATAGTTGGCCTGTTTGAAGTGATTGCAATCAACTGGATCTATGGTATGTTGCTAATAAGGAAAGGTTTAGAAAATTACATGCCTAGTAAAAGATGCTCAGTTGCATAGGTAGCTTTTCCAGAGCAGAAATATTTAACAGAAACAATGGAATACATAAAGTTTCTCTGATTTCAACTGTAACAGTTTAGAAAGTGAATGGTTAAACCTTGTTACAAACAATAAGCTGATTTTGTGTGTTCTCACCCAAATGAATAGTTGTTATTCCTATACGGCACAAGGGGTGCTGGATTTTAATACTAGTATGTCTGAATGTCTTACTAACTTAATGTTCAAATTTTCCCTGTTTTTCTTTAAAAAGGATACAACAACTTTGCTGAAGACATCAAAATGATGCTGGGATTCAAGCCTAATATTTACTGGAGAGTGATGTGGATGGGAGTCACACCAGCTTTTATTCTTGTAAGTTTTTTTTTTACTACTCCTCAAAAATGTTTAGAGATTCTCAATTTTGAGTTATTTTTTGCTTTGAAACAGATACTAACACTGTTGATTGGATTCTTTGTTTAAATACTTCATTTTTTTTCTGAGAGAGAGAGAGAGAGAGAGAGAGAGAGAGCTTGTGCATATGAAAATCTTACAAACTAGTGTTGTACAATTCAGGTTCATAATGATACACCTGCAGTATTTCCTTTCTTTGTTTTCCAGGCTATCCTTATATTCATGTCTGTCCAGTATACCCCAGTGTATTACCAGGACTACCAGTATCCACCGTGGGCTGTGGCCATTGGTTGGCTTATGGTAGTGGCTGCCGTGGCAATGCTTCCACTCTTCATGTTGATTAAGTGCCTCCAGTCTTCAATGTGCAGAAGGGTAAATTCTTTATTTATTTATAAATTTATTTATTTATTTACTTAGTTTTGTGTAATAATGCTTGTGTCCCAACTAGCACCAATTTTGTTTAAGTATTTGACTCATACCTTCAGGGATATATACCTGCACCAGAACAGCCCATAGTTACTTTTTTACTTGATTTCAGTAAAAAAGTGATCATGTTTTTTTTTACATGTAGCCTGTAGTGTGTTTAATTGCATATTCTTGGTACAGTGTATGGCTCGTTAGGACATTCAGCTACATGTCTCTGTAGTGCTATTAACACTTCCTCTTAATTTCACTACCAATGGCATAACATATGGCACTTTAATTCTATGTTTTAGGCACTGAAGGACGTCACCTCACCTCAGGCCGACTGGGGTCCAGCTGTCGAACAGTTCCGCACAGGAAGATATGCTGAAATGACAGAGATGAATGGCCAGAATGGTATGGACAACAAAGGTTACCAAGGAAGTGTGGACACTGTAGCTACCACCAAAATGTAGACATTTTCAAGGCATTTAAAAAAGAAGCAGTAAAATGTAAATGGCAATAGCCCTTGCCTGAACTTTTTACAGTTTGAAGGCTTAGATGCACATATAAAATTCTACATCAGTCGGACAGATTTCCCCTGCAAAAATTAGTTTCTTTTAATGTTCACTTACGGTTCTCAATCTATTCTACAACATTTGTTTGTTTGTTTTTCTTTTATGGTTCCAATGTTGTTCTGTGATGAATGTAACAGTTTGAGACCTTTTTTTTTTTTTTTTGAAGTCTTTCAGAATGTCCTAGAACAGATTAAATACATTTTTCATTAAAAGAGAAAAACATGTTCTAGGACAGATTGAGAACCCTAAGTGAGCTTTAAATGAGACAATTTTTTTAACATTTTAAGAAAGGTGTATAGTGGTTTCAGTTGTAATACTAGAACCACCAGTATATAATTGCACATTTACCTATTTAGGTATTGCATTTTAGAGACAAGGGAATAGTTTTTAATATATTGTTGAGGAGAAATCAAGAATCATACATGTATGAAATAGAATTATAAACTTGAATTGCAAACTGTTTATTATATTTTTATATACAGGTTTATATATACAACTCTTGTACAGAATACTAACTTACAATTATTATAATTATTATACTAGAAAACTGAACAGCATTATTGTAACAGCATTGCATTTTTACTAATATCAACCTAAATTTTAATAATTTGCCTTTTTAAAAGTGAGAGAATACTAAAAGCACAGAATGTACAGGCAACCCTCAATGGCTAACTCAAGTGAAAAATTTAGAAAAGGATGGCAGATTTTGCAAAAAAAAAAAAAAAAAAAAAAAACTAAATAAGAAAAAAATTTACACTCTAGAGCCTGGAAACTGCAAGTTGTCAAATGAAGGTAGCCATTTAAGATTTCACCCCCCCCCCCCAACCCAAAAAAAAATGCTGGTTTGGTTGTTTCAAAACAAAATGGGAGAAATAGGGTTGATATCTGTAATCCACTTCTCTGAATCTCAAATGTTAAAACGTTAACCAGTGTTCTTATTACTATGACTGCAAGACTCTGCATTTCACCAAAATTTAAATATTTCAATCATTATCAAATAAGAAATTCAAAGGCATTTACTAGTTAAACATACACATGAGTTTTATTTCATAGCGTGGGTTTTTCATGAAGAAATTCATTACTGAAAACTAGTAAACTGTATGTACTAGGTACAGAAGGTTTCCCCATCTCTTGTGGTTTTTGTATCTTTTTTGTGTTTTTAGAATAGAGAATCATGTTTTTTTCTCATTCTTGATAAGTTTGTTGAAGCATCATTCAAATTGGTAGGGTTTTCGCTGTGTAAGTTTTGTATATTTCTTTATGTAATATCACCAATTAGCTCAAAATCATTTTTGATTTGTTTATTTCATGGTCATGATGGAATACAGTTTCGTTCTTTGAATCTATATACATCATTTGCACAGAGTGAGATATTTAGGTATAATATATGTATGCACATGTATGAAGGTTTTTCAAACATTCCAATATGCAATATTTGGATTTTTCGTTAATATTATTATTTTATTTTATTTTCAATTCCAATACACTTTTTAGAACTTCTGAATTACCTTAAGTCAGTGTTGCAATCAAAACTTCAGTATTTGGAAACAAAATTGTTAAAATTTCCCCCAAATTAATCCAGAGTAGAAAATGGAGCATACTTAGTCAGATGCATGTAACCCCAGTAGTATATATGACCAAAATAACTAAATGGGGCAAAGCACAATGGAAATCAGTTTCAAAGAATAATTTGAACGATTGAGAAAAAATATTGTCTTGTATTTTGGGTCTTTTATGAGATATAATAAACGTATAATAAACTTTTACGTACTCCTAATCCTAAAAGTTCGGGACTGTTTTTTTAACGAAGCCCCAATTTTCTAACAGACGCCATACGTAAAATTCCTTTCGAATCAGGTTCATGTAGAACAGCAATTGATGAGATACTAGTGACAAATGTATGTATTTTATTTAAATAACTTAGATTTATTTCCAAGAATTAAGAATGATTATATTCCAGCTTACAGAAAAGGAAACCGATCTTTTCGTTAAGAGGGTAACATGCTGAGGAGTCTGTTTTAGAAGTTGAGAGACAATGTTCACAGCGTCAACAAACACTTACTGTAACAGTCATACCTAACTAGAATTGAGAGCAAACATCCCACTTATTCTTTCCATATATTGTACATACACTGGAATCTTGGAAGCTGACTTGAATAATAAATAATTTTGATTTGATAGAAAGCACACTGCATTGTTTGTTTGTTTGCTTTATTCTTTTTTAGACGTCAGACAGAAGTCTTTTTCATGGCTTGAATAGTTTAGACCACGTTCAGTTATAAATTCACAGCATAAGGTTCAGGCATTAAGTGTCAATTGAACAAAGTAAATGCTGGGTTTCAAGGTTCCGCTAAATGATCCCAATTTGAGAGCGTGCCTTCTCACATATAAAGTCATGACTCATTTGAAGGCAAGCGTCTACCTTTCGATGCCGCAGCGTCACAATATTCAGGTAACGTTCTTTCATGACAGGGCTAATTGACTTGTCTCCGATCTGACTCCTCATGGGCGCAGATTCTTTGATTCATGAGGATTGCCTTATGATGCTGGTTATTCAGGTTCATGTATGAGCGCCCGACAAAATGTTTTGGTCCAAATGCCAGAACCTTAATTGCGCCATACATTGTGTACATACGTCCCCCGTTCTAACATAACGAATGCACTGATAATTAGATTTTTGTTTGTGATTCTCCCATTTCTTTATTGTTTTCGTGTTTTTCTTCTTTATGTTCCTTGTCTGTCTTTTCGTCATCCCCCTTTTTCTCTTTTGGCTTCGTCTCTTCGTACTCTCTGAAAGTGTAAATGAATATAAAAAATGTAAGTTTCAATTACGTTTTCTAAAACGTAAAAGATTATCTTAAAAGTAAAAGCTACTGGGATTTCGTTTACGTATATATTGATACCTTTCCTTACTTCTAGACATAACTTTTGTAACCCTTTCGTATTCACGTTGTACCCTATTAATATTTACAACCTGGGAGACGCCAACAAGTTGTCGAATTCCTCTAGATTCTGCGGGAGATCTCTGCGCACAGTCTCAGGTAACAGAAGTGACAGCAGTCCAGCGATGATTGATTCTGCTCCAAGGATGATAAAAGGCAGTGCAGCAATTGGTTCCTTCAGTAAAACAACCTGCGGTGCCAAGGCGCTGCCAACTCTGGCAAAAGTAGAGGCCAACCCCAGGGCTATGATTCTGGAAAAGTAATCATTAATCAGAATTACGAATTATAATTGAAAAGTATTTAAATATCAAGTTGAAATATTTTCAGTTTAGCTTACGCATAATCACGACTTTAATTTGGCTCCTCCAAATTCGTAAAGATATACACTTGAAAAATTTTTTTCCAGAGTAAAATTCGTTTGAAAACCTCGCTGTTTTTTTAGTTTGTTCTACTACACAAAATCAGAGGTGAGTGTATTACTAGTTCAGAAAGACTTACCTCATTACTGTTGGATAAACCTCCGCTGTCACCACATAGATTACCACAAATGATGCAGAGATACCCATCTTACCAAGTATTGCCAGCGTTACTATTAACCAATGTAAATCTAAAAATATGATGTGATATATAACAGACATAAGTATCTTACCCAATGCTACTATGTCTTTATGGAGTCGAAGTAATGTTTGTTTAAGCTATATATCAAATTAATGTCGCCTCTTGAACAGTACCGCCCTACAACCCTTGTGTGTGTGTGTGTGTGTGTGTGTGTGTGTGTGTGTGGTTGGTTGAGAGAGCTTTCAATGCCCCTAAGCAAAAAATTAGGTTTCTGGCAAACTGTTGCCACATATTTGCTACAAATTTTTAGGAAGGAATTATTAGCATACAGATGAGGCCCTGCCTTTAATTTAAAAGGACATGAAGTCTTCTTGCAAACTTGCCGCAAACTTTTAATGTTCTTAGAATTTGCAGCAAATCTAAAATATATATGTGATATAAAATATGTGATATATAACACATTTGCAGCAACAATTTTTTCTTGCAACAACCTCCAAATAGTTTTTTTTTTCAAACTGTTTAGTTAGCTGCAAATTTGCAACAAATATGCTAAAAAATCTATTTTGCTAAGTGGCAGACAAAAATGTGCTGTAGCAGATGTGACCTGCTTGTCATTTAATACTAGAATTAGAAAACGATAACTGCGTGATGTACTGCATGAACTTGTGATATCTTTCCAACTGTTAAATCACGGTTCTAGAAAGGCATGCAGTCATATCAGATATTGATTAAGTTTAACCAACCGACAACGTAATTTAATGTTTATTAATCGAACGGAATACAATGGCTTATTCACGTATGCAGTGACAGTGCATAACTTACCCGAAGGAAGAGACCCGGAAACAATGCAAGCCACCCCTCCAAGCACCATAAATCCCGTCAATGACTTTCTTCTGCCAATTTTGTCGATGAGGAAAACAGCCAGAGTGTAGGCAGGAAATTCAATGGCCCCCATCAGTGTGAAGTTGAGGTAGAGATCACCACCCAATCCCTCGGAGTTTAGTGCCAAACCGTAGTATACCATGCCGTTTACCATCCTTAACAAAAAGAAAAAAACGCTATATCAATCAAACAAAGACTTAAAATTTGACCGCTTGGCTAAATGATAAATTGCTTCAACAGTTCAGTTAGAGGTCAGCCGATAGACTGAGATGCATGGACACGACCCCACTGTCTTGACTGTATAGATATAGTACTATCTAAAAATGTCTTCTTTAAGGGCATTGTAACCCTTTGTTATCATCCAGATACCGAAAATAAGGTTTCTAAGAAAAATCGATGGCAGGGCTTTAGAACACTAAATAGTGCCATTAAATCGGCGTTAAAACGGTGATCGTGGGTGCGCAGGTAAAAGAAAAATGCGAGAAACTGTTTTTTCAGTTTTTCTCCCAAAATCTCACCCGTATGATCACAAACGTGTAAATTTAAATTTATTTAGTCACTTATCACTAAAGATTTACCTATTACCCCCCCCCCCCCCAAAAAAAAAAAAAAAAAAAAATGCATGTAAGGTACTAAATAAGGCGTTTTGGGCGAAGGTTAACAATATCCTAAATCTGAATTTTTCAAAGTACAGTTTCATTGCTGTTTCCGCTCTTACCGACCCAATTTGAACCTGTAGAAACTATGGTGCCCACGTGATTGCAAAGTTAAAATTAAAAAGGTGGGTTATCATTTTATAAGCTAATGAGTTGCTTTGTTGCCACCAGAATTTTGGTTACAGTGTACTTTCTCTGTTGACCTTAAACTAAAATACCTCTGTTCTTTCTATTGATTTGGCTGTCAGAACAATACCCGAAAGAAAGATACCATATATGGCTGATATACGGTTTCAGATATCTTTAAATTAATCAAAACTCAAGATGTAGTATCTCTAATGTACCATACCTCGTACAGAGGTAACTGGTATAATAAGTCTGACTGATACATTCAGTTGAAAATTCAACAATCTATATCCTTTAAATTACAAAATGTCGACGGAAGGATGGGATCTCTATCAGGCAAATCTGCAGCACGTATACGTAAATCTAGGTCTACCCACCTCTTTCATGTCTTAGTGTCGTATACAAGCATCAAACCCGTCCATCTCTAAAGACAGGTTATTCAATAAACAGGAGGTCATGCACTTTTACCAGTAAGTACAATATCATTTCCATAAAAGTGGTAAATCTCTTCTAAATCCCTCATGCCCTATTTCCATATCAAATGGAGATCTTATTTTAATAAATGCAAATTAAAAAAATACAAACAGTGGCGTTACAAAAGAAGAGGTAACTAGAATTTTGTCTCACCAGTTGAAGCACACATTTGCCGTCAGTGCGGCTCGTTTCCAAGTCCGCACCATGTCTATAGGGGTATATGTTCGAGAGGAGACACTCGTCTCTTCTTTGTCCTCTATCACAGACTTAATGGTCTCATCATCAGGCTCAGAGTTGATATTTGTCATAGAAACTGATCGGATCAATTTCTCTGCTTCTTCGGTGCGGCGTCTTGACAACAGCCATCGGAAAGATTCGGGAAGAATGCTGAAATTTAAAGCAACGGAAGTGTAGTTTGTGGTGATTTGAAATTTCATATAATTTGGTGTGAATAAAAAACGCTGTCGGTCGCTTTAACCTCAAACTTTACTGCCCTGATTTTTGCATAAAAATGGAGATTTTACTTTCTTTGCTTCATTACATCAACAATGCCTGTGTTAATGCAACTGTGCAGTTAATGACCATGGCCCAACTACGAAGTGACTTGAAGCTAAAATATTTATTAAACCATGATATTTTGTTGTTTTTTTTTAAATTAAATTCTTACCACAAATTTCCAAGACTGGTGTCTGCAAAATACATAACAATGACGATTGATGCATCGCAGTATTCTGTCTTGTATATCATTACAAAGTTAAGAGAAGGTGAATCCTTACTTACAAATAATACAGTCCAAACAGGTATGCAGGCACGTACAGCACTAGAGCAAGGTGTCTCCAGTTTCTTATGAAGTAGGCAAACAGTACGATATAGAAGTAACCGATGCTGAAGAAATACATTACCCCAAAACCAGCAAAATTGCGTTTGCTTGGGCCCACGAATTCAACTCCTGCAAAACAGAAATCGGCCGAGTGTTTAATAAGCGTTGAAGAGATAAAACAAAATGACGAAATTAATTATTAGAGGGAATTTTTAAAAATATCAAGCTACGAATATTTTCAGTTCAGCTTATGCATGGTCAAGTCATGAATAGCGTGTTTGGACTTCTCCATAGTTTACTGTGAACATAATCCTTATATTTAAAGTAGCGCTAAACTAATTGTCATATGGACCCAGCGGCTGCAAAGAAACAAATAAAAGGCATTCGTCATTCTACACTGTGACAAAGACGACATCTTTGCTTTACAACATATGAATAAAAGAGCTAAATACTGGGCATATTAAGTTGGCTCATACATCTCAGTAGCGCACGCATATACTAAATCAAAATGTACACATAATGGACCTCAATACACTTCTCTTATATACAGTATATGAACATTTATTTCAAGTTCATTTATTTTTCAGTTAGTTTCCTACCTAAAGTGAATGTGGTCAGGAATATACAGCCGCTGAGTGATCCCTGTAAACCTTGAGACACTATGTATACTATCATATTGGGAGAAAGGGCGGTGAGGATCCCCACAGATGCCGAGAGAATAATTGCAACCAAAAACGTGGGTCGTCTCCCGAACCTGAAATCAGCAGTTATGTTATCTGGATAATTTCAAACAAACAAATAAACAAACAAAAAATACCCAAAAGGACAGAGGG